TTCCCAAAAGAAATTAAAGGAATTTCCAGCGGTTCGATGAGAACAGGTAAAGGGTGAAATGTTTCCCAGATAAACACAAACAGCTCTGACAGGAAGCCCCGCACCCTAAATGACAGGCGTGGGGGCGTCCCCTGGAGGGCAGCCCAGGCCTGGCAGGGGCAGGTGCTCCGGGAGGGGAGGGGAGGGAGGGCAGAGACACAGCACCCACCCCAACAATGGCAGGCAGTCTTAAAGATGAAAACTGACCTGTGCCATTCACTTCCATAAAAACGTCACACCAATGGAAAAAGAAGAATCAAGGGAGGGGCAGAACTGTCATAAGGTGCTATTGTTTTTGAGCTTAAAAAAGAACAAATGAAGACAAAAGGTGAAGGAACCCCATCACCCTCCAGCTCCTGAGCGCTGAAATATCTGCAGAGCATACAGCGAGGCCTCATTCCTTCCTTGTATTTCCAAGACCAGGACCTGCTACTTTATGTAAATCTTGTCTTGAAGGAAATTTTCAAAAACAAACTATCTTTAGTTATAGAGCTGGAGTTACAGTAGTTGTTTGGTTGTTTCTTTTTCGCTCCCTTTGGTGTTGCAAATGAACAGTTTGAAAAATGGCATCTGGGCTTGGTGGCTCACGCCTGTAACCCCAGCATTCAGGAGGCTGAGGCAGGAAGATCACTGTGAGCTCCAGGCCAGCCTGTGCTCCATAGTGAGTTCAAGGCCGGCCTGAAGTACATAGTGAGACCCTGTCGCAAAAACAGAAAGAAAGAAAGAAAAAGGTGGCAAATCTGTTATCTCCTTTTCAAATACGCAGCCATCTTCCTCTGCTTGGATCTAACGGTCCCTCTGTTGGTTTCCCTCTTCAGCCTTGACGATTTCTGGCCTGGGGTGTGCTGGAGGTCAGGCGGAAGCCCGTGAGGACGGAGACTCTGGGCTCTTCACGGCCAGGACCTGCAGATTCCTCTGCGGGGGGGGGGGGGGGGGGGGCGTCCACAATCCCCTTTTCAGAGCACCCGCCGCTGCCCTGCTCAGGAGACAGCATGTACAGTGAGGAGCCACGTGGCAGTGTCCCCTTTCCTGTGGCCTCGCTTGCTGCCCCTGTGGTTCCAGGACTGAAAACACCCAGTGGGAAATTGTAGTAAGCAACAATCACCTGTTTTTACAACTCTCACTGGCTTCATCGTTAATCTCATGCTGCATCTAATTTATAGACTTCACCACGGATGTGTGTGTGTAGGAAGCACAGAAAGCCCGGGCTTGACATTACGCATGGCTTCAGGTCTTGGAATGTGGGTAAGGGGGCTTTAAAGCAGAGGACTTAGCGTGGAAAGCGGGGTCTGCCTTCCATGACCCCTCCGCGTGCACACACACACACACACCCTCATCCCTTTGTAAACATCCATGTTATGTTCCACACCTTGTAATGTGATTCTTTGCACGTTCCTCCTGTCTTCTCACTCAGCTTTTTGAGAATGAGATTCAAGACGTAAGCCCAAACGTTCCACTATGAAATAGAAGTACACATCATGGAATCCGAGGCATTCAGTCTGAATTTTGCTTTTCTTTGATTTAGGGACTGATTTTCCCCTGCCAGCATGGCAGGTCCTTGTCACCCCCAGCTACTGGCTCCCTCCAAGCTCAGATGTGGACAGGCAACTGCAATGCTGCCTGTTAGGTCTGGGGAGAGGCTGGTGTTTTATTTTAAAATATGCATATAATAAATCACTTCGGGTCGATTTCTATGGCTTTCCCAGGACCTCTGATGAGCTCTGCCTCTGTGACCAGTGAGAGGGACATCTGGAAAAGCAGCTCAAATGCTTCCCATAAACATGCCAGTGGCTTTTCCACATGACATAAATTATCAAGTGGGAGGCGGAGGGACCCAGGCTGTGTAGTGGCAGCTCCAAGCTACTCGCTGGTGGCAGGACTTCTGTGACATGGCAACCTGACCCTTGCCAGCCAGCCAGCTCTCCTGCTCAGCAGGCGGTTAGGGCACCTCCAGGGTACCCAAGCCACAGCGCCTCCTCCTGTTTGCCGGCAGTAGCAGCGAGGATCCAAAACAACTCAAATTTTACTTTCTTCTGTCCAACTGGGATTCATTGGTTCTGCCAATTGTGTGAGTTTCTAACTTTTTATGAAACAGATTTTGAGCCCACTCTTGCTGCACAGATGGACCAAAGGGCAAATATGAAAGACTTCCCACACTCAGAGTAAAAGCCTGATAAGCGTAAAATACAAATGCCTAAATCACCCTGGAAAAAAGCCAAGGATTTTAAAGAGAGGTCTCTGCAGCTATCGATGGGGATGTTCACCCCTCCCTGGTCCTGGGACTCTCAGGATGGGTCAGCGCGGGCCTGAGGGAGACTGGGCCGCAGAGGGCAATGGGCATGACTTAGCCAGAAGCACAGGGGGGCTGCAGGAGGGCTGAGGAGTGGGCCCCAGGGCTCCCAGCCCGACTGACTGGAGAGAGAAGAAACAAACCAGGGAGGTGAGGGAGAAGGCGGTGAGGACAAAAGCTCTCTCAGAAAACAAACAATTGTATGAATTCTGCACCTGCAATTTTCTTTAGGCTTCGCCAGAAACCATCTCTAGGCAGGAATAAAGTTGGCCCTGCCCAAGACTGGCAGTGGCAGGGACACAGTGTCATTCTGGGGTCCCTTGTGCAAGCTTAACTGTCCCCCTAACCAGATGAGATGAGCTGCTAGCAACAGAAGCAGAAATCATGATCCCCGCTGGACAGAAGGTGCTCGCAGGGCCTGCAGAGCCCTCTTCCCTGATGGCAGAGGCCTCGCTCAGAGCTAATGATCAGGTGCTGAGTGGAAACTCTGAGCTCATCAGGCCTGAATTTGGGAAATCAAGGTCGCACCTAAAGCTTAATGGTCTGCTAAGAGCTGCAGATACACACTGTCCTTTCTCCTCCTCCTGCCAGGCATGTAATCGGTCCTCATGCTATTTTTCCTAGAAGGCAGTGCTATCATTACAGGCAGGCTTTGTGAGCAGGGGAACAGGGACAGGTGACAAATCTTTCACCTAGATGGGCTGAACGCAGTTCAGGTCCCACCTCATTATAAACAGTCACACTGTCGAAGTGTGATCCCGAGGTCCCTCCCAGGCTGGGTCTCTCCTCCGCTTAGGGGAAGTCTCTTGCTGGGACCACTGTATGATCAAACTTCCCTTCCGCAGAGGTACGGGCTTTTTTCTTTTTTATTTGGGGGGGGAGTGGGTTTACCGGGAATCAAACCCAGGGCCTTGCACTTGTCAGGCAGGTGCTACACCACTGAACTACATCTCCAACCCTTTGTTTTGTTTTATAGGAAAGCACGAAACACACATTTTTAAAACAGAAATTAATTCTGTCCCACAATGATGCTTATTGACCTGGCTGTTGCAGTAAAACTTTGATTACAGAGATTTCTCCCTTGTGTTAAGCTTTTAAGAGGTCAAAGTAAAATACCCAGGGAAGTAGGACAGCCACGGGAAAGTAAACGGGGAAACAAAGTCTCATCCTACATGCAATCAGAGCATTCGTGTTTCATAGGGATCCACCTGCTTCCTGCGGTTTCCACGCACCCAGTTCCAACAGAAATTTCAGGGGAGAGCTCTGCGAGCTGTGAGGGACCTTCTGCTCACCTTGGTGACTCCAGGGGCAGCCACATTCCCAGCTGGCAAAGGGCTGGAGGGGAAATAACTGCAGACCAGGGGGACATTCAGCAGGCCTGAAACACTGTGCCGGCCAGCCTGGCACAGAGACGCAACTGGTCCCTATCCCTGTCGTCACTGGCTTTATCCTGTGCCCCACCACACTCCCAGGTAGATCACGTGTCTGGAGAGCCAGCAGTTCGTGTGCTTTTCATTACCATATCCCAAGGGCCTAGGCGGGTGTTAGCACTCAAACAATAAGAGATACAGCGGTGCCTCGTATCTTCAAAACCTTTCCACGATTCTGGTTGCAAACTGAATTGGGTAAGAAGTGAATGGAATTTCCCCCAGAAGGTAAACAGTGACTCTAACCATTAAATTTGATCCAGTTCATGTCCAATTTGGCTTGTGACCAGAATCACGGAAAGAATTACATGTGTGAACCAGGGAACTCCCGTACATTTAAACTTAGCTAAGACTATGCTTTAATAGGTAAACCGGACAAAAAAGAACAAAAGCACTAACAGACCTCTATTAATAATACCTTCTGAATGTTTAAATTACTTTCATAATAAAGAATTAATAGCTGAACTCTGAAACTGAAAACTTCCTGAAGTTTGAATGACTCAAAAATTTCTTTAAAATCTAGAAGTTTGGGCATAGTTTTGTTTAAAACTAGAGTCCTTTTACACATCAGTATGATCTATAGGAGTATTTGATGGTTCTGTTGCCATTTCAATGAAGCCAGACTTGAACCAGCAGAGGCAAGTACCCGAAATCAATCCCGATTTCATCTCTGTCACTGTACTTTCTCACCCGAACCAAAGGCCAAAGGACCACTGCCTTTAAAGCCCTTAGAAAATAAAGAGTAACCCACGCAGCCAGCACGGCTGGAGTTCTGTTCCCACCCTTCCCTCTGTACACACCCAAGGATTTTCTAACTGAATTTATCACTGATTAATAAATGAGTAGCAACTAATATCACATCATATCTCTGCCACTGACTTTGGTAAATGCCTCCCACATCCATCCCCTTGCTTCTTCTTCCTTTAGTCAGTGGGGAAGAGAATAAAAGGAAGTTGGCAGATGGGGATGGGAGATCTGTGCGGGGACCTGTGTCTGAAAACAATGAGGTCTTCTAACATTTCATAGCTCAGTGCCATTAATGCCTGAAAGCAAAAATTACAACAGGAAGCCAAATGAAACTCCAAAGCTTGGAACTTAAACTCTTCACGGAACAAATGCTATGTAAATAGTAAAAGACCTAAAGAGAACATGTGCATTTAAAATGCAGCCTGGTACCACACCTAATCGTCACTTCCTAGCGCCCCCAACCGGCCCTCTGCACTGGGGAACACAGAGGCCTCCCCTCCTGAGTACTAACGTTTTATTAACAGCACAGTGAGTGAGTGTCTTCTAAGGGATTTCGCCCAAGCCAGAGAGAAGGTCAAGGATAAAACTGCAGCAACCCGTCTGGGAAAGAGCAAGGAATTATGCAGTCAGAGTCCACCTGCAAGCTGTGCTCAGTCCCTGCAGTGGAAATCAAGCCCATGCTCTTGGGCCAGGAGGTCGGGCCCAGGCTTAGCTGGTGGCAGCCGAGCCGCGCCTAGGTCCTCGCCAGGGGCCGGAGCTGTAACTCGCGCTCCAGCTGCTCTGCAGTCAGCGTGCCCTGGATGGCCTCGCAGCCCGGGTTGAACACGGAGTAGGCGCTCTTCTCGCCTGCCTTCTTCTCCCCTGGGCCCCGCGTCCCTACGTACATCCAGTAGAACAAGGACAGAACGAAATACACCAGGCCAAATTCCAGCTCTACGAACAGTCCCAGTAGGACCAACCAGAGAAGGACCTTCAGGAAGGTGATGCTGGTCAGGAAAGACCGGTCTCGGTGTGGAGGCGGAGGCAGAGGAGGACGACTGGGGACGTTCCTCGGGGGCTGAGCCACCTCCTAGGAGACACAACCAAACCACAGTAAGAGTACATGGGTAATGGTGTGGGAGGACCACAGCTAATCTAGAAATGGTGTTCTTGCTGCTCTGGGAAGGCTGCAGCTCATTGATTTCTATTTCTCTTACCCTACTCTCTTAACATAGTCATCGCCAGAGAGCTTCTGTGCAGGCTCCGGCTGAATCCAGAATGATCAGCACTCAGCAAGATGTGACCCCAAAAAACCTCACAGCTTTCAGGTGGATTCCCATGTTTGGGAGTTGTTTCTTCCTATCAGTCTGCTGCTAACACAAGCTAATTTGTGCCCCAAACAGAAACTGCCCAGTAACCCACAGGGCAGCAGTCTCCCATGCAGAGACAATGGACATTCGCTGATTTGATTAGCTGGGCTCAAACAGGATGAGTGACATGATTCTAAAACAAACAGATGATGCCCAAAACAGAAAACAAAAATCTCCTTCATTTATTAAAAAAATAAGAAACTCTGCTCCGGCCACTCCGAGGCCCCCTCTCACCATCCTAAGCACCCTGGCCAGGTCCTGGGCAGTATCTCCTAACTTAGACTCCCACCTCCCATTTCTTCCTCCCCAAGCCAGCTGAAGCACAGCTGCTAGGAGAATTTTCTAAATCACGCACTGACCTCCTCCCATAAACCTCAACCACAGTGTTCAAACCTGAACTCCCGCGGTTGGAACCCAAGGTGCTCCATGCATTCAACAAATGGAAATGCCAGTACCCAGGGGCCCATGTCGGACGCCGAGGAGACAGGCGTGTGCTACCTTTAGGTAGGGCTCCATTGGCAGCCCACAATTTCCCAGACATCCGTGGGCCTGACCTACAGTAAGGAATACACTTTACACTGCCACCTGGCATACCTATGTGCAGCTCTCTGCTGGGTCCTGGTCTAAACAATTTGAAAGGAGGATGCAATCTTCTGTATGTCACCATCCACTAATGGGCTGCCACTTGCAGTCTGACAAACAGAAGCCTAAAAAGATGTTCTGTGCCACAAGACCCGTGATCTAGTGCTCCATAGATGACCCCTCTGCCCCAGCCACACTGACCCTGCTCCACAGGGACGCTCTGTGGCCTGGAATTACCGCTGGCTCCTTTCCTCACCTTGTTTCTTTTTTTTTTTTTTTTTTTTTTTTTTTTTGTCTTTTTTCATTTTTATCGGTACCGGGGATTGAACTCACGACCGCCTGCTTACAAGGCAGGTGCTTATGCCGTTGAGCTAAACCTCCAGCCCCACCTCACCTTGTTTCTAAGCTGGTGAGACTGGTGAACTGGGTCTGTCCTGGGCCATCGCAGAGGACACCTTCTGTCCTGGGACACTGACAGACTCTTTGTCACTGAGCACCGCTATTTAGCACCGAAGTGCCCCTCTTTTGTTTAGGCCCCATGTGTCCCCGGAGTGCACATAACATGGAAGTGAAGGACTGTTGTGTCTTTTGGTGTCATGGGCCTGAACACAGCACCTCATGCTTAGGTTCTCAATGCCAGGCAACTTGTAGCTGTTTTTCAGTGGGGTCCTCTATTCTTCATGGAGCATTCAAAGGGGGGCCACAAATACTGGCCTCCACAAAAAGTAGCAGTCATCCGATTACGGTGCAAGAAATTCTATTTTGTTGGCACTTTCAGTTTTTAGCATCTGCTTTGTAATTATTACCTTTTTGATTAGACTAGAAAGTCTGGCGAGGCTCTGGACATATCAACATCCCCTACCCTGACATTTATTAAAGAAGAAGCGCGATCCACTAAGCTTGGCCACTGTGTGCAATCCTTCCTGCCCAAGAGGAGGAACGAGGAGGGTGGAAAGGTCTGGCTTGTCTGACCACAGGACACCCAGAGCGACTGTGGCATCCTGTACAAAGGGGACGAGATGATGGTGGGGGTGGAAGGCAGCAGCCAGGCCATGCCAGGTCAGCCACGCCGCAGGGAAGATTCTGAAAATGGGAAACGAAGGAAGGTCTTAGTGGGAAACTAACATAGTCCCACTCAGGTTTACAACCACTCCGTCTGCCAGGGAGAGAATGCACTGGTGCTAATGCAAGAGGCCCAGCAAGGGAGGACCAGGGCTGATCAGGTGCTAACAGAGGCCAAAGACAAATAATAGATTGATGGATGGATGGATGGATGGATGGATGGAGAGGTACGGGATACATCTGGAAGGTATGCAAACCCAAATTCCCAATAAGCTGAATTTATTATTCAGGGAGCATAAAGAGGACAGCATTCAAATGCCACCACTACTGAGTGCTTCCCAAATGCTTGCAGTCCTGGAGGCAAACATTTATTCCCAATTTGCCGTTGTGGAAACCCTGAGAGGCTAAGCGCTTTCCCACCCCACGCTGACATGAAGTGCTACGAGAGCAGGACTTTATCTGTCTTAACTGCAGCCTCCAGGGTTGTGGATGGAAGCTGAACACTGCAGGCTCAGGAGGAGATCACTGAATGAATGCGTCACAGTGAGGGAAAGGGAGAAATTAAAGATGCACAGCATCTGCTAGAGAAGGAGGTGGGAGGTTTCCGCAGCATTAGAAAATTACCAGCATCTCTGTCACTATATGGCAGACAGTCATCAGAGAAGGAAGTTTTGCATTGTGTTTTTCCTCAAGCAAAATTTGCAGGGAGGAGGAGGAGGAAGAAGAATGTGACTTTTCTTATCCATGACTGCCTCGGAGATGCAATTATAAACAGATGACTAACAAAATCTGACAGGCTACCACGTGTCATCAGAATTGCCAGACTGTAACTTCAGAAAAACAAAATGTTAATGAGAATTTTCAAACCAGCACACAGCCAGGAATGGTTGTCAATGAAAATGAGCCTAAGGCAAATCACTCACGAAGGGCGGGGTGATCACTAAGAACCAGCCCAAGGTTGGTCACTGCTGCTTCTCGTCAGGCCATCAGATTTTGGGCTCTTAATAACAGAAACTTTCTCTGAGTTCAGTGTCTCTGGGTTCAACTCAGTGATCTCAGGTTCTTTTGGAAATAAGGTAGAGTCTGAGGCTCAGTGTGTGCGTTTGACATTGTTTTTGCAACTGAAGGGGGAAAACAAGAGAAAATGGGTTCTAAATCTTGAGCAATTGTGCTGGGTAAACTCTAATTAATGACAGCCAAAGACAATTGAGAAAAATGAGTGAAAAGAAACGGGAGTGTTGAACCCTTCAAGTAAATGGGAACCTTGAATACTGTGCACAACAATGGATTCTGAGTATTATTCAGAATACGGAACAGTAAATTTCTGCTTTAAAAAATAATCCTTAAACAGATGTTACACTGTAACGGATGATTATAGGTAATCATTTTAAAGCGAGCAAGGCATATCGGTATTCAGGGGGGCTCAGCTTGGTCTCCCAGAGCGCCAGCATACCTAAAGGAAGAGGCAAAACCTATATAAACCCTCCAGCCTCGCTTGCGTTCAGCAGACTTTAAAAATCATTAATTTTGGAGGCCACGTAGCTGAGCCATATATTGGTCCCAGGACACCTCTAAGTGAAGCTACCTCACAGGCTAAAGCTGCTGCCTTTTTTCTTCTCCTGTGTCTTCAAGACTAACTGCAAAGTTAGTTATTTCTGGAAAAAGGAACTAAAAGACAGGACTGGCAAGACTTCAGAACCATCAATTTTAAAGAGCCCAAGGCATATGATGATCTTCAGGTAACTTCAAAGTGTAGGCCAAGGTTGTGCTAATCTTGCTCTTTAATTAAAAGTAACCTTCGACTTGCAGGGAAATAATGTTTTAAAGAACAAGTACGGACCAAGGGGGAGAAAATCCAACTGTTAACTCAAGGATGGTCTGGCAGAGAAAAGCCAAACTCTGCTTTGCTCCTCTCTCCCTCAAATGCCCTTTGGCCCCAGGGTTTCCTAAGATCTTTGTTGGGGACGGCCTCCCCGGTTATTTGGTTTGTGAGCTTTGCAAACAAACTTTTTCTGGCTCCAATTCAAGCGGTGGAAGCCACACGACAGGGTGTGACAGCGAGACCTCAACTTCCAAAGAACAATTCAAGGGCTTGCACTCTGCCTGGAGTAAGGGCTGCGTGGGACCCCAGCTGGGAAAAAAAAAAGCATTAGGGCCACAGGAACGCGAGATCTGCACCCCAAGCCCTGCATAAATCCGCAGCCACGCCTCCGCCGCCGGGGCTGCCGAGGACACGCGGTGGGCGTGACCTGCGACCATCAGTGTTGGGCGTGCCCTCGCCTAGGGGGCGGGGCCACGGCGGTTTCCACAGAGGCCATGGCGGCGTCCCCGAGGCCAGGTGGGGGCAAAGGCCTCTGTCCTCTCACCTGAGCGCGGCTGGGCGGGACCCGGGCATTCGCGGGCCTCGGTTTCCGTACAAGTATCAGGAACCGCCTTAACCAGCCTGAGGCTGCCTCTGGAGTCCTAACTGCTTCCGCCTTCTCTCCCAGGGTTTGTACGGTCTGACTTGAAGCGCACGGTTGGGCCGCCTGCCCGGCCCGTTTGCGAGCCGCCCGGAACTCGGCCAGCCGCTGTTCCATGGCGCGCCTCCGGAGCGGGCGCGCGCTCCCGCCTTCCGCCCTCTCCGGCGCCGGGCCGTCGTGCGCCTGCGTAAGCCGCTCTGTTGCGCATGCGCGCCGGCGGGGCAGTGGCCGCCTCTACGCGGCGCTGACGTCTCGGGGAGTCCGTATCCCCGCATCTGTCCAAACACACTTGGGCAACGTGGTCGCTGCTCCAGATGAACCAAAAAGAGGCTAAACAAGACCTGGCCCGTGCCTCGTTGTCGCCTCGGAGACTCTAACTCATATTGAGCGCTCTACTGGCTCCATCTGTGAGCACCACAGTGAAAAGATGGACCGAGGACCGAGAAGGCTCGAGATCACTGAGGTTTCTAGGGTCAGGATGGTGCCAGCCCTTTACTTTTTATCAGGGTACGCCAGTCTTCGTATTCAGGGACTCAGTGCTCACAGAGCAGGCTGCGCAGTCCTCTTGTCACCCTGGAAGTAGTTTGTTGATGTCTGACCTGATCAGTCAGAAACTTTTTAAAAAAATCTTTAGTCCAGCAATGCAGCTCAGTGATAAATTGTTTGCCTAGCACGCAAGGAACCCTCAGCACTGAAAAAAAGAAAGAAAAGAAAAAACAAACCCGAGCCAGGCATGGTGGCCCACATCTGTAATCCCAGCAGTCTAGGAGACAGAGACAGTAGGATCATAAATTCGAGCCCAACCTGTACAACTCAGCAGTTTAGTAAGACCATGTGACAATGAAAGCTGGGGGTGAAGCTCAGCAGGAAGGCTCTGTATTCAGGCCCAGTGCTGAATCCACTGACTGAATAAAGAAAAAAGATGAAATTTAAAATACAGAAATTTCAAGTATAGCCTCAACTATTCTTCTGTACAACTACCACCAATCTAACATTGCTAGGATCCTAGGAGTTCTTTGTGCCCTCACATTAGTACCTACCCAGAAGAACACAGTTACAGATTTTTAAAGCATCTGGCAAAGTACCTCCTGCTTAATGGGCCCTCAGATACTTGTTTGATCTTGCATACCTTGAGTCAATAAGCTAGTCAAACACTCTTTCCTTCATTTAGCAAATATTTAGGGCATATTCCAGGACCAAAGTGGTTCTGGGGTGAATGAAACAACCTCTTTTTTTGAGAGATTATGTAAGTGGAAAGACAAGCAGTAAACAAGCATACAAGTACGCATCTAATGTAAGGTCAGGTGCTGACCAGGGCTATGAAGGGAAAATAAGGGATGAGAGTGGTGGAGCCAAGGGCCAGGAAATACCTTTCTGAGGGTTTGCTATCTGAGCAGAGACCTAACTTAAATGAGGCATGTAGCTACCAGGACAGGAGTATTTCAGGCTGGGCATGATGGCCTATGTCTGTAATGCCAGCACTTGGGGGGTTAAGGCAGGAATATTGCAGTGACTTCAAGGCCAGATGGGGGTACATAGTGTGTTCAAGGCCAACCTGAACTGCCTAGTGAAATGCTGTCTCAAAACAAACCAAATTCAGTCAGGACAGAGGGGAGCTGGAGAAAGCAGAAGCAGAACAAAAAGTAGGTTGAGTTGTCTCAGAGTTACTTTCCTTGTAAAGATAAAAGCAAAAAGGACTTTATTATACCAGCTAAAACATGCCTGTCTGGGAATCTGGCTATTTTTTCTTTCCTGATTTCTTGGAAGATGCACTAAAACAATTTTGTTTTGGCTTCAAATTCAAAATGGTATGGAACTTCAGCATGAGTAGGTCTTTTCTGGTTTGGTCTATTGTCCAAACTGATGGCCTCCTGTAAATTCTAACACTCCCTATGCACACGAATGTTCTGGGGAACCAAGTGATTAATGCTGGGGTCCGCTACTAGAAAGAGGGCAGTGTAGGAGGAGGGGAGCGCAGAATAAACACTGAAGGTTTTGTTTGGGGCATTTCCAAGAGTTTGAGGTGCCTGTTGGTATCGGAGTGGACATCCATTGAATAGTGCAAACCAGAATTCGAGGGAGAGTCAGGAATGGAAATGTGTGATCCACACGTGTGTGTGATGTGTGAGCTCTGAGACTGAGGTTAACTTGACAGTGTGGATGAGACTGTATTTGAGCCATTAGTGACTAGAGATGGTTTGCAAAACAAAAGAATGGAGTTTTATGCCACAAGGACCCTCGTGGAGAAACCACAGGAAATGTCTTGGCCATCTTGGTGTATTAGGGGTGGGTCGGCTTTGTCTAAAGAGACTGGAGACCCCGTTGTTGTGTTTCACTTGATAGTGACGCTTAGACCTTAGAGTCTTTATGGCCTGCATTGAGCTGACTGCAGAATTAAGGAGTATAACGTGGACTGTCGGAATCAGGGTCCCTGGCAGCTGATGTGGCACCTTCAGAAGGCTTAAGTAAGGAGGGTGTGGTGAAGAATTAGTTGTGGGAGTGGGCAGGAGGAAGCAGCCAGCAGGGACGGACCTCCAGGGTAGAAGGAGCAGCGTAACAGAGTGGTTATTGGCCCCCAGTGAGACTGTAGCTGGGCGAAGCCTCAATCGGGGAACTGTTAAGGGAACCCAGAGCAGGTGGAGAAGGATAGAAAGGATCAGCCGAAGCAAACAGGAAATGTCTCTTGCTTCAGTAACCTTATTTGCCCTTTTCTTTGTTTTCTTCTTTATTCCGAAATTATTTTGTCTTGATACTCTGTAAACTTTTTTTTTTTTTTTTTGTCTTTTTCCTTTTTATCGGTACCAGGGATCGAACTCACGACTGCCTGCTTGCAGGGCAGGCACTTATGCCGCTGAGCTAAATCCCCAGCCCCGTAAACGTCTTTAAATGCTTTCTCGGAACAGAAGAAACATGATCATCAAGAACAGCTTCTGCCAATAAGGGTTCCAAGCATGGGCTTTGGGTGTGAACTAATGAGCTTGTCCCTTTGGGGGAAAGGGGTGGGTGAGACTTGGAAGGGGCGTCTAGATGCAGAAGTCAGGTAAGCATCCTGCAGTGCACGGGACAGGTCCCAGCAAGAAAGAATTATGTGGGTCACAACATCAAGAGAGCCAGGGTTGAGTGGCACTGCAGGAAAATGAATGGAAGCTGCAGGTCTCGTGAGGGCTCCGTGTAAAACTTTTCTTTTTTTTCAGTGCTATAGATCGAACCCATGCCCTTTGCACTGAGCTACATCCCAACCCTATTTTATTTTAAATTCTGAGATAGGGTCTCATTTTGCACAGGCTGGGCTCAATTTTGTGATAGCCTTCCAGAGTGCTGGGGGATGCCTGGCTTTAAAACAAGTGACACTGATTTCACTTCATTCTATCAATCAGACTATAACATAGCTAAGCTGGGTTCCAGGAACTGAGAAGCATGATTCCATCTTTCGCTAGGAGGAATTAAAAAGAATTTACAAACATCTGTTATCTACCTCAAAAGCAGATGCTTAGGGATGGGCTAAGAAAATGTGAATTGAGCAAGGCGTGGTGGCTCGCGCCTGTAATCCCAGCACTTGGGAGGCTGAGGCAGGAGGATTGTTGCAAAGTCAAGACTCACCTGGGCTACAAAGTGAGCCCAAGGCCAGCCAGTACTGTATAGTGAGACCCTGTTTCAAAGAGACAAATAAGTAAATAATGAATCTAATTTTTAAATTATGAAACACTTGCATATAAAAACTATTATATGTAATATACATGTACATATATATTTATAAATTATAAATAAATGCCCACATACCCTGTAGCCCTGGGATACAGTATACTATCTGCCCCTATTCTTTATCCTCCTTACCATGAGAAGCAGACTCTCTTTCCTCTTTCCTTAGCTTTAAACTGGCGCTCGCACATTGCTTTGGACAAATACACAGACAGGGGAAGTGAAGCAAGCAGTGCACCCACTATTGCTCTGAACTGCTGTGGGGTGAGCGTGCATCCTCCAGCCAGCGAGACCCAGCTGACCACTCAGCCTGCTGACCCACTCCCCAGAAATTTAAAGCTGAGATGCCCAGCGGAGCCCAGCCTGAGGTAGCAGACTCCCTCCTTATCTGAAGATATATAAAAAATAGATGCTTATTTTATATCACCAAAATTTTGTGGTTATTTGTTACACAGTAAGAGCAGCCAATACTTAGGAGAAAAAACCCCTTAAAAATATTTCCTTGAGGTCTATCTCCTGTGTCCTTGTGACCACTCCTTCATTAGAGTGATGAGTGCGTTAATGGATTTTTCTGTTGTCCTCCATTCCTGCAGTAAGCAAACACCCTTGCTTTATAAAAATTCTTATTAATGTTGTATAATTTTTATGAACTACCATTGGAGGGTTTGAATTTTATGATTGTACTAGCTTATAGGCTGCCTCTATTTCCATGCCTCACTAGTTTTCTAGAATGTTTGGATAAAATAGGAATTAACAGTTTCTTTGGTAGGACTTAGCAGTCAAACCATCTGGACTGGAATACTTTCTTGGATCCGATAAATACATGCACAGTACAATTAAGTCAATTTATAGCTGGTTAATTCATCCTTACCCAAAAAGGGTGCAGGGATGGAGCATTGGTCTCTCCTGCATGATATTTTTAAGAGTGTCTTGGGTGAAAATTTGTAAGAAAGCAATTAATCATATTTTCAGGCGACAAATTTGCTTGAGAAGATGTATGATTATGTCTTCAGGGCAAATTGAAATGAATTTTATTCAATTTACAGCATTATGATTAAAGCATTGTGGAATTGCTCAGAGGGTAATTTGCCTCCACCTAGATATACATTTATGTTTCTATAGCTTTGGTTTTTGTTTTTGTCCTTTTTCTTTTTAATTTTGATACTGGGGATTGAACTCACAACCTTGCACTTGCCAGACTGGCTCTTAGACCACTGAGCTAAATTCCCAGCCCCCTGTTTTTGTCCTTTTGAGACAGGGTCTTGATATATATTTCAAGCTGGTCTTGAGCTCACTTTGTAGCCCAGGCTGGTTTTTAATTTGCAAGATCCTCCTGCCTCAGCCTCTCAAGTACTGGGATTATAGGTGTGAGTCACCATACCCAGCTGCTTTTGTTCCTTAGTCATTGCTTTGAGAGCAGTTTGCTTCCATGGGATGAGAAGCTGTCCCTGCCCTGGCCCGGTTAGGAGGGAAGGGTGCATGGTGGA